TCATACAAAACTTCTTGATGTGAGGCAGCATCAATGAAAGTGAATAAATTGAATCCACTAAATTGTTCTCATTACCGTTTGTAGGGGTGACAAGACTTTCGAACCACGCTGTACATCCCGTACATGTATTAGATATTATTTTATTTTACATTAGTGCATGGCAAAGAAAGATTTTTTTTTTCATCACAATAAAATACGTTTCTGGTGGTGGTGGTTCTTGTTGTTGTTGTAGTAGTTCTTCTTCTTCTTCTTCTTCTTCTTCTTCTTCTTCTTCTTCTTCTTCTTCTTCTTCTTCTTCTTCTTCTTCTTCTTCTTCTTCTTCTTCTTCTTCTTCTTCTTCTTCTAGGTCTTCTTCTAGTTCTTCTTCTTCTTCTTCTTCTTCTTCTTCTTCTTTATGCTGTGTCCCTTCAGAATAGCTTTACACAATTTCCTGTCCCTTGCCGCTCTTAGCAAATTTTGACATTTTCTTTCCTCCCTTGAACCCTGTTTTTTCATTCATTTACACGGGCCCGTTATGTAGGTTTTGCGCTGTATTTCTCTTTTCCTCTTTGACTTCAATATCTCAGGAGAATGTCAAAATTCCAAGCCATCTGTCTTGAGCACATACCGAGGAATTTAAACTGACTCTTTCAGATGACAAGGATAAGCGTCCTCTTTGTTTCTATTTTTTCTAAAACTCCGTTCTTTTTACTTTAGACTCAAATCCTTCTTCTTCATCTTCTTCATCTGTGCGTAGATATTCCAGCATTCACTGCATTTCTAATATATATTTCATTTGCTTCTAACGAAATATTCGTGTTTCTTATTACTTTGCCCAGCTTTTTGGTCGTCATTTTTCGCTTTCCCAATGTGCCTTTGGATTCCGATGCCGTACTTTCCGTCTTCCGTCGAATCAATTGCCCGATATTTGAACTCTTGTACTTACTTCATTTTGTTATGTACAACTTATAATTTACCTCTTGTGCTGTTTCTTTTCCTAACAATCAGGTATTCTCTCATCTTTTAGTTGATGTTACATTGTTTTTTTTTTCTCGTTTTCCTTCGCTTCATTCTATAGGAGTTCTTGTAGTTGGTTTTCTGTATTTCCTGCGTGATCTGCATATCTTATCTTGTTAAGATTGTGGCCGCCAATAATGAATCATGATAGGACATCTAATGTTCTCAAAATCCCTTCACTATATTGTTTTAATAATTCTGGTGAGAAGATACACCTTTGTCTTACATCACATTCTATTTTTGTATATATACTGAATACCTTTTCTATCCGTAAATAGATGGTTTGCTTCCAGTATATATCGTGGATTATTCTAATATATTTCCCAAATATGCCATGGTTATTAACCAGTTCTAAAATATATATGTTAACTAAGTTCGTTTATACAAGCGTCAAACGAAGGAACAAATTAGTGTGAGAAGAACATGCAATTAGACGTATGTACGTGCTTTGAAATAGTTTTTCCAATATGAATCATAAACATAGTGCAAGGAAAACTTTCGAAACTAGATAATATTTTTAACGTTAGAAAAACCAAGAGAAAATTGAAACTTCTTAATAGTAACATATGGGATATACAGGGTGTAACAGCAAAATTGCCCAATTGTTAGATTAAGTTTTGAACCGTAGTAGCTTAGAAATGATTAAAGATATATTACAGGAATTCTTCGAGGTTTTCCTAATACTATTGAACTCTACTTTGAGCAAATAGAATGTATAATTCTTCTCCAAGCTTAGAGGAATCTTGATAAAATCGATCATAAATGAAAATGGCATGTTCATGATTAATTAATCATAGCTAAGGATCGGAAGCTCATGAAGGCTTAATCCTGGAGTAACAAGCTGCCCCACATGTTTCACGCACGATTTCATTTCAAGTCTTTTTTCACTGCTCTTTGACTGTCATAGTTGAAACTTCTCTCACGTGCCAAAGTCTGACGGATTGACTTGGGTTTTTTCTAATAGATCTCTTTAGCTCTAAGTTCAAATGATGATCCCTCTTCCTGCTCTGACCTTCTGATGCAGTTTTACTCTCTACTCTTCCCTCTTTTTTTTAAATTTAATCACCCTACTCTTATTGGTTCTTGAATGGACTTTAAAGATGGAAGCCAGAGTATGAATGTTCGTACCATTACTGAAAGCGTGAATGATCTTTTTTTCTCCAGCATTGCTCATTTGGGAAGAGGGTGTGTCTGACAGGAAAGGATTTTAAGCTGTTCTCTATTTAGCTGAATACCTCAAACGGTTTTTAATGATTCTTACGACAAACATAAAAAAGAAACTTAATTAGTTTCTGTGATCCTTATCTGAAAAACTGCAAAAAAAAAGTGACTTATTTTATTGGTTTTAGATATTAAACATTTTACGAGATGGACCATTTTGCTGTTACACCCAGTATCTACAAATTTTCAGCGTTTTTTTTTAATTTTAAAATAATTAATTCTAACTTTTATATTTATTTGTTATTGATCACGTTATATCTGATAATTTCTATGGTAATAATCCGGAAGTATTTCAATTGAATTTCGATAAATAAATCTGACTTTTTTGGGAAATAAAATCGTTAACACATCCTTAGAAAAAATCTTTCCTTATTAATCTGCTGCAAGAGGTAGAATTTCCTTTGTTCAATCTATGTTTTGTTATGTTTTCGACAAATCGACGACGTGTGACAGGAAACATCATTCACTAGAATGACAGATTTCCCCACCTGCTAATGGCATTCTTATTAATGCTGCACTCATCTGTCTATGTTGATGGCGAAGAACGTTTTGTAGTTAGCAATTCGAAATGAGGAATACGATGGGCAAATTTTCTATTTCTTATTTCGCGAATGTGCGCTATTTGCTTTAATTTTGTCGACTGCACAGTATAGTAGGGTCAGTTGAACTTCGTCTTTGAGAAAAAGCAAATCTCCGCCAGAGATTTGGATACAGGCATGCTGTACTGCTTGGCATTCGCGCCGGAATTTTTAATACGAACATTTCAGAGTGTTTGGATGTCAATATGAGGACAGGTCAGAGGATTAGAAAAGATCTGGGTGCATCTAATGGTAATTACGAAGGTACCGGAGCTCGAAAATTAACTTTGATTGTTCTGATAAGAAAAGAACTACCGAATTAGTTGGTAAGGCCTCAGACTCAACACGGAGGCAACCATCATGTGCCTTGAGAAGTAAGTGCTGCTCTTGGTCAAGAGGTTGGCTACTGGAAGATCCTGTGTCTGGCAACCATCTCGGACATGCAGTTATGGCTGAGAGACAATTTTTTTTACCACATCACCCTTACACCTGTCCACTTAACTCCCCAACTAAACCGCGTGATTATTATGTGTGGGTCGCATTTGAGCGAAAGACAAAGGACATTTCTTGTAGCACCAAAGATTAACTGAAATAATGATTATGGCACCATTCAACACTATAATCATGAGACTGTCCAGAAGAAATTCAGGAGATTCTAAATTGGTCTAGAGGTGATGTTTGGAGCCAATTGCGATGTTACTGAATAAATTTACTCATTAGTATTAGGTTGGTGCAAAAATAATGACGTAATAATGTCGTTTTTTGACGTTAAAAATACGTCAAAACACGACATTATTACGTCATTATTTTTGCACCAACCTAATATTTCAAGATATTTTTGTGTAATTTTGGTAAATATATCTATGAAAATGAGATGTCAGTGTTATTTTCATTTTTGCGTAACTTAGACGACAATTTATCCACCGCACCCTGTAGAGAGCAATATTTTTGTTTAAAAGATATTACGTTTTAATGTTCTTGTTAGAGGCTGTCTAAAATCCACCTCCGAGATTAGATGCTTTTCATTTACGATATTGAGTCACCCCACGACGAGGGTGTCATGTGGCACAAGGCCTTTTTAACGTGGGCATTCCGAGCCCGTGGGCTCGGCCAAAAATATGCCCATTGAACCCGTATATACGGGTTCAGGTCCGGTTTACCTCCTCGAAGGAGACTCTGCCCTACGGCTGAGCCCCCTTCGGCTTCCTCTCGTCCGTAGGAAGAGAGTTCAACCGAGCAGTCGGTTCAAAAGTGAACGACTGACGCACTAATGCTTTTCATTTACAAAGACAATTTGCATAAAATAGCTTTCTTTATATCTTTAAAATCGTATGTAATCCATTTTCCTGCTGTTTAAATCGTACTCACATTCTGAAGTGTATTAATAATTAAGATTGTAAACTGATAGAGGATAAGACGCCCCCCCCCATTTTCGACGTTGACTGAATTGGTTCATCAAACAGAAGTAAATCTCAATGCTTTGTTTTTGTGGTCTACAGCGGTCCCTTAAACGTTTCAATTCATTCACATGTACTACTTCCGAAAAACGCATGTCATCTTTTTGATTGTACTGTTGTCTTACATAAGTTGTAAAGGAGCAGTATGCTCCGTTGCAAGTACACCTTGTCTGCCTTCATTTTTCATGTTTTCAACACATGATAATAGAACACCAGTTACTGAACATTAAAAGAAACTTTCTTCTATTGCGCATTTATTAAGTGATCGCAAATTTTGTGCACAACAAATAGATGACAATATGCAGAGAAATTAAAAGGCTTCAAGCGCAGATATATATATATATATATATATATATATATATATATATATATATATATATTTATTCGCGACAGGATGGGGAAAGAAAAAGAAACACTGGAAAGTTGGTGAAGGAAATTGAAAAGAAATTGAAATATTGGTAAGGCTACTGATTGAAATATATGGGTTACATTGAAGAAAAGAGATAAAGACCACAGGAATAGCGTGAAATGACTTTTTTTGAATGAGAATGAATGTGTTCGAATGGAAAGGAGTGAATGTAAGATGTAAGCAGGACCGGAGAACCTTGAATACGTCTTCGAAAATGAAGTGATTCAAACACATCGATTGATTGGACAAAATTGAGGAAAATATGGCGATGAATACACAGAGGGGAAAATAGACATACGAAACAAGAAAACGCCATGGGGTAAATAAATAAATAGAAAGCTAAAATGATAGAGAAAAACATCTAGAAAAAAAGAAAGGAAGAAAAAGAAAGCAAGAAAGAAAGAAGGAATAGCAAGCAAGAAAGAAAATCAAACAGGAAAGAAAGAAAGAAAGAAAGAAGAAAGAAAGAAAGAAAGAAAGAAAGAAGAAAGAAAGAAAGAAAATCAAGCAAGCAAGAAAGAAATAGTGAAAAGTAAGCAAGCAAGAAAGAAAGAAATAATGAAAATAAAGCCAATAAAGAAAGAAAAGAAAGAAAAGCAAGGAAGAAAGAAAAAAGAAAGAAAAGCAAGCAAACAAAGAAAGAAAGGTAATAAGAAACAAAGTAACAGAGAAAGAAAGTAAGAGAAAAAGAAAAAAATAAGAAAAGTTAGCAAGGAAGCAAGCAAGAAAGAAAGAGAGAAATAAATAAAGAAAGAAAACAAAGAAAAGCAAGCAAGCAAGAAAGAAAATAAGAAAGAAAGAAAGTAAGAAAGAAAAGATAGAATGAAATAAAGAAAAGATAGAAAACAAAAGCAAGAAAGAAAGAAAAAATAAACAAAGAAAATCCAACTGAGAAGAATAACGTAAACAAAAAGAAAAAAATAAATTCAAATTTACAAGGGATAGAATTAAAAGAAAGTGTGGAAATATTATAAAGGAAAAGGTATTTAAAAAGCAGATAAAAAGAAAATAAATATAATAAAGAAAAAAGAAAAACAGACTTAAAAAATACTAAAAACACAGAAACATTAAACAAAATAATCGAATCAGAAACAAGGGAAAGGTACAGATAAAATGAAATGAAATAAGAGAGGAGGGAAGAGGAGGAAATCATGAATGAAAGGAAAGACATGAAAAAATACATAAAATGATATGCAGCTGTATATAGGGAAGCTTTTACAAAAGACGAAAGAAAACAAATAATAAAAAAAAGAAGGTAAAAGAAAGATAGATGAAAAATAGTTAACAGAATTCCAGAAAGAAATATAAAAACATAAAATACGGCACGAGAATGAATTTTCTATCCTTAATACTTAAAAAAAATGTAAAAATAATATAATATAAAAATAATAAACACTTGAAAATCATTCAAGAGACTTAGTATTTAACAAAATAAAAAGTTACATAGAGAAGTCATTTATGTGCCATGCATGATACATGCTTAGGCGATCATGTATCTTTCGATACATGACTGATGAGGCAGCTGATTGCCATTTTTTTTTTTCTTGGTGGGGCAATTGCCATCCAAGGCTATAGAACCCGGTCTGTCCTGCTATTTACCCATAGATGAGGGGAGAAAAGGAATCATAACTACACAACATCATAAGCGATCCTGGCTCTCTATAGATTATAATTTATATCTGTGAATTCTCGTGATTGATAATCCTTTTGATTTCTTCCTGCTTTAGAATTCGGAATACCTCTGCTCCTAGAACTGCTTCTCTCAATGCTAAACAAAAGAGTATACCTTGCTATTTAAAAAGTATAGCTGTGGTAAGAAGAGATGGACACGTATCTTTCTCATTGATATACGTGAGAAGGAATCTGACCAACTAGGCCGGTATTTAAAACTATCTCACCGATATTATTTCCGCGCCGATAACCTTTAGACTGCCCCATTTCTCTCACTAAACGTAGATATGTACAAAAATAAAAATAAAGAAGCAACGATAAAACTTGGGAATGGAAAAAGAAAAAACAAGTTATATATATATATATATATAAAAATAGACGAAAGTCATAACTAGTGATACAATGAAAATAGTTAAAGACTCTCTTATACTTAGCATTTTTATAACACTCTAACTTGAGTGACTCTTGGGCATTTTATTCCTGAATATTTAATTAAAAAAATGCCCAAAGAAAAATAAATGGTATCGAAAATAAGCGCAATGAAAGAAAGAAATAAAGAAAAAAGAGAGAAAGAAAACAAAAATGAAAAAAGAAAGAAAAAAGAGAAAACAAGAAAGAAAAAAAAGAAGAAAGTAAATCTGTTCGAAAATGGAAATTGAACGGAAATGGTAACGCTTCGAATTCTGATTGGATGAAAGCAGTTTCGGCTTAGGCGGTAAAAGAAATTTGTCTTCAAAGCAAATAATAGTGACTGCAGACGTCCCCACCGATGTAAACATCAATAACAATGGCGGTACTATTAGCCGTATGAGCATTTGAATCACTAACGCTAGTTGGTAATATTTGCTGTGTGTCCTTATGCGCGATGTATCCGTCAATTCGAAATAACGGAATGTCTTTTCTTAGAAAACAATTACGACAACATGGAAGGAAAGGAGCTCTGAAGAGGAATATTCGTCAAACACAATCAGTAGACTTTCTTTATTCATTTCTACTGTTACAAGTAGTAAAGTAAAATTATTCGATGTTTCTATTATCATTTTTTTTTATTATTATTAGTGGTACAGCCGTTAAATTCGAGTTTATTTTGCGGGGGAACATGTTGCTTAAAAGGTTTACCTTCGAACAATCTTTTAGTGTTTATCGAATGTAATAAACGTCTATTTTATGGTTTGGTTTACATGAGCAAATTTTACGCTTTGAAAAATTTTCGCCATAGCACAACTGGAATAAATCATGAACATCTTTTGATAAGAAAAAAAATGAAATCTTTCAATTCATTTCTGCATAATTCTATTCCTATGTGTCATGTCCCTTCAGGACGTAGGAGATCATGGCTCCAGAAAACCTATCCTGGTAGGTGCCACTAAATAACTATTGACCCTTGATATGTCCCGTAAGAATCAGAATCTCCAAGCTTCATTCCTCATTATGTATCCTAAATTATTCAGCTTGCCTTTGGTTCTTTTTTCTTTCTGTTATAATTAAGAACTCCTTGCTAACATAATCCTTCCATGCAGGGCAGGATTAAGGCTTTAATAGGCATCCGGGTTAATAGAATGTAGGGAGCTGCTCATTACGCATGTTCGCCCACGTGTCTATAAATTATATATATATATATATATATATATATATATATATATATATATATATATATATATATATATATATATATATATTTATTTAGTTGGATTGATGTGGGTTTCACGCTTTTCAAACTTGCATCAATCCAACTGAATATGTTAACTCTGTCACTGATATTGAGTGCTATTCAATAAGTACCGTGTATATATAGTATATAAATAATATATATAATAAATTGCATATACATACATACATATATATATATATATATATATTTATATATATATATATATATATACGGGAGCAACGGTAAACGGGAGCGAAATAAAATGAGAAGACTTCAAAAGGTACCGGGAACCCAATCGTAAACAAGAAAAAAGGATAAACCTCAACTCTTGTTCAAATGATCGGCGAAGTTTGTGTAACGAGAGGTTTTGATCGTGAAATAATACGGCTTCATTTATCACCAGTTCTTGATAATTCATTCATAGAGCATACTGATGCAGTCTAATAAGAAATCTATAGTGGAATATTATTTATATTTACCCTCATGTATAAAACAAGTACAAGAATTTAAATATCTGGTAAATTTTTAAGAAAGTGTACATTGATATATGAAATTGCATTGACATAATGAAAGATGCCTTCCAATAGCTAAGAAACATATTCAGAAAATAAACAGAAAAAATTCTCTAGTAATAGAAAAATGAATACTGAACTGTTGTGGAGTATCAGTCCTGCAATATGACAGTGGATGCTGGATAATCTCTTTAGAGATGAACACGATACTTGAAATAACATATAACATACAGGATACTGAGAATACCACGAACCGAATATGTGAGTAACAACAAAGTTTTAAATACAATGGAAACAAAAGGAACATATATACTTCACAAAGGAGAAGAGACAGCTGAAAATTATAAGTTACATGATCGGGAAAGATGGATTGGAAATTTCGATACTCACAGGGGAAGACGAAAACAATGTGTAACCTGCCTAGCTGACTAGAGGAAATGGCTGAGCAGTGTGTGAGAGAGATAGTAAAACGATAAATTTATTAAGTGCTACAAAGGACAGGACATTGTGGAGAGTCATGGTCACAACCGTCCTGATAGGAGATAGACCATAGAACAATACGTTTAAAAATGATTTTTAATCAATTCCAATCGAATATGGTGACAATGCCACTAGGAAGCAGGTGAGAGGGGTTACAGCGCGTGAAAGAGATTGATAGATCTTTACAAGTGAGGAATAGAAAAATAAAGGAACAGGAAGACAGAAAATGGAGTTTAACGTTGCATTTAAATTTTTTATTATGGTAGTTGGTATGGAAGCAAAAAATTGAGAGGGATTTCCTCAGGAGATAAGTGCGAGAAAATTTGCTGTTTGAATAGAACAGACGTTTGAATCAGGCTAGTTCAGATGCAAAACGATGGGGCATAGTTGTCAATCCTTTGTATCACTAACGAAAACGAACATGATCTGCGTTTTTTTTTTTAATTTCAAACATTCTCATTATCAAAAATATATTCATGTTCGAGTATAAATTAATAATTCTTTAACAGATCTAGACACCCTAATCACTATGACAATTAATTTAAAACTAGCATTTATTGGAAAATAACTAATAACCGTTTGCTTAATAATTTCGTGTTTCAGTGTTACGCCTGAAATATATAAATTAGAGCTAATAAAATCTCTTCTGAATTATCTATTAAAATGAACAACACTAAAAAAAGCGCATAAATAATGAGTTTGTCGGAGTTATCTCCTCCTTAATTACTTAATTATTCACTAGGTGACGTTGTCTCTACACTATAAATACTAGGCAACTTCTTGCCTCGTTCGCTTTTCAGTTTGCATTTCAGCGGACACATTTGAAAATGTGATCTCTCGTAGATCCATTTGTGGGAGACGCTGTGAACATTAAACACACATACACCTACGTACGAACATTCACCAAAATACAAACACTTTACGTTCACACGCAAACACAAGTGTTAATGCCGTTTTACTTGTAAATTTGTTGTTTAATACATATATTTCTTGACATATATATATGTGCGTGCGTGTGTGTGTGTGTGTGTGTGTGTGTGTGTGTGTGTGTGTGTGTGTGTGTGTGTGTGTGTCATCAGTTGAACTCAATCTAAGTCCGCCATTTTCATGTAGTTGGACCTTCTCGTAGCAGGAATAAAAAGCACGCGTTTTTTAATTCAACAACATTTCAACCCACACGATCCTCTACAATTTAAATTATGTAAAAAAATGTCTTACAATAAAAAATAATCCATTAAATTTCGCACAAGATAATATTAACAAACAAATACAAAAGAAATTTTGAATGACCGAATTATATACTATTTTTTCAGAATTTTGAATTATTGTCCATTATAAGTCTTTATTGTAATGTGGCATTTGCTCTTAAAAATTAAATATTGATTGAATGCTTAAGTGCACATGCCACATTATATTCACTTCATCAGTCAAAACATTAATTGTTAATGTTTTAGTTGATGAAGAGAACAGAATTTTCGAAAGATGTACGAAAAGTCGATAAAAAATATGTCAAAATCATTTTGTATAAAAATAGCTCCACTAAAATCTCTTTATTTTGTGTCGATGATATCAGGAAATTTTTTATCCAACAGGAAACGATTTTCGAAACCTACTGTATTTAAAAGATACTTTCTTGATCATTTTTTATACGGTCATATGTAACGTTATCTATCGTTATCGTATACAGATTGACTCACTCATACGTTACATCTGTTTATTCAATTCAGGACTTCTCGGTGTTGCTGTGTGGGTTTGCGTTTTATCCCTGAATGTGGATTCTACTTTTTTGCGACTGTAAAAAATGCAACTTCTTTCCTATCACGCACGGGTGCCTATAGTGAATTCCCATGCTTAGCTCAGATGCGGCACAAGGCCGAAAGTATGGGGTACCGAGTGAGGATCGAACTCACTACTCAGTCGTAATTGTTCTGGCGAGACAAGCTTGCTAACCATTACACCACCTCGACGTACCCACGTGTGCCTATATATCTACCTATGATTCGGTTCCTCCCCGTTGTGCACATTTCAAAAGCAGATGGATTGACCAACTTGTTTCATGTCGGCATGGTCGCAGACATCTAGATATTTACACTTTGCGATTGGGAAGCAAGTCATCTCTTAAGTGAACCATCTGGATTCTGTGATGGACATTGATTGCAAAGTCTATTTCGCTATCATCTGAGTTACGTCACAGAGCACACACATATTTTGCAGGGTTTTTTTTGTTTGGTTAAGAGTAAAGAAAAACTGTATATTGTTGAATAAAAGTTATGACATGAATACATTAAAATAAATGCATTTTTTTAAAAATTCAGTTATAAATTCTAAGCATATTAAATAATTTGGTGTATGGACCGATTATTAAAAAATTTATACAGTACTGAACGAAGCATATATTGTACTCGATTCATTTTGTCCAGCAACAGGGAGTGAAGAACTTAAACATCCTTGTCAGAAGTAAATTTTGATATGGATGGAATGCATAGCGTGCAAATCATTCAAACATTTCTAAGCCGTTTTAGTGCATCAATGGATAAATATGGCTTCAAATGAAAACAATGGAGTGCAAAAGGACAGTTTTATTAATAAGACAACGAGGGAAGAACGGTATGAATAAGAGGAACAGAAGTAAACCCACAGAAAGAAATTTCTTTATCACTGAATAAGAAATAATTTTGCATTGAAGCAAATGAAATTATCAGAAAATGAAATTAACGAGTTAGAGAAAAGGAGAAAAATACGCCTGAAATTAAATTCTATTAAGTTATTAGGACGAGTGACAGAACTAATTTCAACTCGGAACTAATTTGAAGTCGGAATTAATTTCAACTCTATTTTAAAAACCGAGCCCTAACCATAGCACTAACGCTTAGTTCTGAGGTGAAATTAGTTCCGAGTTGAAATTAATTCCTTGTTGAAACTAATTCTGCACCGCATTATGACCCATGAACCCGAATAAAAGTAACATAACTTTGCAGCTACGGAGATAAGTAGATAGTATCAAGCTGAATAGCATTAATAAACCAACTGCTATATTACCGACATATTATAAAAAAAAAAACTGGGCCGCTTAATCTGTAACTCTACCACGAGTGGCTCTTGGGTCGTGCACACTGTGAACAACATTTTAAAAAAATAAACAGGCAACTATAAGCAAAGGAGAATAGTTTAAACAATTGTTTCCTGGATTCAAAACAAGTGACATGTATCACTAGATAATTATTATCCGGACGTGTTATTTTTACCTAATTGTGTGCCCAATAAAAGAATTATGAACAAGTCAAGGTAGAGAGCTACTGTATGAAGTTGTTCTATGAACCTTTGGAATAGGTCAGAAGCGAATATTATGAGGATATATAGAGGTGATAACGGTTCAACTTAGACATGAAAATGAAAATGTTATCATCATAACAATAGGGGAGCATCCTCTGAGGTGTCTGTTCCACAGAATAGCGGTTCTGGGGAAGAATATGTCAGAATGGGACTTCGTCCATACTAATGTAATACGAAGGGAATATGGTTGATTTATTTTAGTATACTAAGGTTTGTAGCTTGGAAGAATATTTGCCATTTGCGATAGAATATTTTTTGCTGGAAAGGGATGGTAGATTTAACATAGACATCAAAACGAAATGTAGCTGGTAACTGAATTTAGCTTACATGAAACGAAACGAGGAAATAATCGGCTAACACGACGAACAGTTAGAGCAAGAGGAGGACGAAATGACACAGCCATTTAATCAAACAGGAAAGAATGAGAAAAGAAGGTATGTTGACAATCGGATACGGGTACAGATGGTGATATATGTATCTAAATGTCTGACAGATAGATAGATAGATAGATAGATAGATAGATAGATAGATAGATAGAGAGCCTGGTGTTTTGTGAGTTTGCTGACATAGCTTATTTATGTCTCTCTGGGCTGATAGTTATCAGTTGATTAATTGATACTGTTAACTTAATGTCAGACATTTTGATGATATTAATTAGTTATTAAGCATATATGTAAATTTCTTCATTTATCGAATTGACGCTCACGGAACAATATAATTATACAGCTATTAATGTTGCTTCTCCTTCACTCTTTCTCTGAAAAAATGTTTGTATCTACTCTCTGTTGAGTCATGTAGAGGAAGTGGATTAGACCAAGATCAGCTCGTCCATTTTCGGTGCTAGTTTCTGTTTGGCTAATTGAATATGACGTATAAACTTATTACGACAACCTGTCAAAACGCAGTGTCGATTTCTATGTCCACGTTCTTGTTTTTTGTATATATATATATATATATATATATATATATATATATATATATATATATATATATATATCGTCCTGGGTAAGACGATAAACTGAATCCAACAGCAAGACCTCTGTTCAGGTTTTGAGGAACGTGAAACCACCTTTTAATTGGCGGTGTTCTCAGTTCCACCCTGACCCGGCAAATAGTTAACCGACAAACTGTGGTCAAACACTATGTAAATATAAAAATAGGTTTTAATACAAGAAATACTTTGTAAAGAAAAGGAGGTTTTTCTAACATCATGGCTTATCATCTCTCAGCTGCGTCTCAGGGGCTTCTCTGACAAAGGACAGAGGGGCAACTGAGAAAATTATACTGAGGGGTGCCCAGCCCTGTGGAACAGCTGTCCGAGGCCGTGCCCTCCCATTGCACTAGAGGGAGGGATTGTTCTCGCACCGTGGCCCGCGCAACCGACGGTTGCGGGGTCTAAGGGCAATTTTTGTCCCTTGCCCGGGTGTACGCGCTCGGGTCCTCACTTTACTAAGACCTTGTATGACATCTCGTCTTATTGGGGGGGATCCAGTAAATACCGTAAGTTACTATAAAGTTGTGAGGTTTTTCTACTTCAGAATTCGTTGGAGAATTGATCTTCAATTTTTCATATACTCATACAGATATTATTTAACAAAAATCCTTACTTGCATACGGAAAAACTTAGATATTAACATTTTGTACAATGGGTGTATTGTGTCAAACTCTGGATTATTCACAACCTAAGTAGTGGAAATGGGTATCTATTGTTTAGCTTGGGTCTAGACGCGTTAAAAGGCAGATCGCACATGTATAGCATTCTGATTGCTGCCTGTCATCACGTAATCATTTCAGAAATCTATTTCTGCCAGTCTAAGGTTGACGTATTTCTCAAGAAATACGTCAAAATAGTTGGCACAATACTCGATGAAAGTTACAAATATAAACAATTATTTTACAAACCTAATTCAGATAACCTAAATTAAACTTTTGTGGGAAATTTAATTTTAAAATCAGCAATTTTGATGTCTTTCAAATGAAATTCCAAGAATCATTTTTGCTTCTTTTCTTTTTTCTTTCTTGTCTGAAAATTAAGCTGATATTCTCAAATTAGTACAATCGTGGAAGCTGAAAGTCGTATCCACAGAAGGTATATTCTCTTGAATACCACCGGGCTGTCACTTATTATAGCTAAGAAGAGCACTTTTTTCACTTAGCAGTGATTTACAATGAAGCCATATATATATATAGGGATCTCAAGAAGATTGAGATGACAGAACAAAAGATAAGGGAAATGATGGAGTGGAAATAAAGAAGAATGAAAACATAAAATCCAAAATAACATGAACCCAAGAAAAAATTGTAGGAGAAAAAGGAAAATTCCCTGCATGAATAGGGTAGAGTTCATACAAAAGTTGTAATTGAAAAATGTATTTGCGTATAGAAGGAAAGGTTTTCAAGTCTCATTGATATTTTTTTTTAAAGGGATTTGGGGGAAATATTTGTAATTAAAGGGTAAAAATAAACAGAACAAATGAATTCACTTGTCGTCTCTGGTGTATGCAGCAAATGTCAATCATCGATATACGCTTAGGCTGAACATTTTTAAACATTGATTCAATGGATAAGGGAGGTGGTGAATCATAAAGCAATTCTCAAATTCTTTTTGAAAGATGTGCATGCATCATGGGGGGGGCAAACTATTCATAAGACACCAAATAAGGGATATATATATATATATATATATATATATATATATATATATATATATTAAAAATATAGTCTTAAGGTGTGCTATATTTATGGGATAAATTGCTCAATATCAGAGATAGAGCATGTGTAAATATAAAAGTGAACATAGAAGTCAACACTTAGATACAGTCTGTTTCATGCTATATGTGGCCTGACGATTGCATATAGCATGAAACAGACTGTCGCCCCTAAGTGTTGACTTCATGTTCACTTTTATATATATATATATATATATATATATATATATATATTGCGCTATTGTTGAATGTGATTGAAGACTACGGAACATTTTGTTTAATAATCTTACTTTCGATTTTTTTTTATTTTTGATTTCTCGAAAAACTTTTGGGTATTTGGGTCTAAGTTGTTAAAAAAAAAACCCTGCCTTTGGTGTGTTGCCCAGCGCTTCTGGTTATCGTCAAGTGTTGTCATAGCTGTAGGTTTTTGGTTTTAAGTTGGTTGCTTTTTATTTTTATAGGGAGTATTTCGGGGCATTCGAGTCGTGTTGTTGGATAAGTTAATTAACAATTTAAGAGGATATTTGGTATTCATTATTTGGAGGATTAGTTATCAAATATATTTAAGATGTATGGCATCTCGGCGCGGTGTAATGGTTAGCAAGCTTGTCTTGTTAGATCAGTTACTACTGAAAAGTGAGTTCGATTCTCACTGGATGCCCCATACTTTCGGCCTTGTGCCACATCTAAGCTACGCTTGAAAAATCTCTATATTTAAGAGGCTTGCGCCAGTATTAAATATATGTGTGGGTATCGGTGTTAGATTCATTAAGAATGGATTCACTAAAAGTTGGAGTTGTATCCATTTTTCATCATAATTATATTCCTGAGTATATTTCTCATTGGTCTAAAGGTGGTGATAAAAACCCCACGTGTTGGGGATAACTGATTTATTTTCAAATTGTGTAAATGGTTGTTGTTATTATATTACATCCCCAACCTGTATTAAATGCATTCTTAACGAATCTTACAGACACGCGCGCACACACACACAAAAATATATGTATATATATATATATATATATATATACAAACATATGAGATATCGCGCATTGAGTGCTGGTATAAATAAAACTAGTGATCAATATAATATAACAGAGATGTTAAGTGTATATTTATTGTTATGGTGTTCTCCCTCTAAAAAGTCTATGTTGAACTATTCTGACTACTATAAGATTAGTAGGAGAGAAAGCCTTTGGGGGAAGTGTCAAATTCTCTGTCTCGGCAGAGAGGAACCTGGACGAGGCTTTGCCTCAGGGCAAAGTTTCGTCCGAGTAGGTAGACAGTCCCTGAACCCGTTTATGCGGCTTCTAAGGGAAAATTTTTTGCCGACCATATTGGCTCGGAGAACCCACGGTAAACTCGGCCTTGTGCCACATATATCCCTTGTGGTAGGGCTGTTAAATAGTCGACCAGAATGTTCATTGCTGACGAACTCTCTGCCTCTCACAAAGATGTGATAATAAACAAACGAAGCAAGCAGAGTGTTATTATTTTTTAATCATTATGTGACAAGCAAGTCAATAAAGCAACCATGACACAACGGATTGGGAAAGCATTTCAGGAAAAGAAAAAAAATCTGTATCAAGGAGAATTAACGATAAATGCACAGAATTAAGAAGACAGAATATGCTTATTGATATTGCACTAATATTTCGAAATTTAAACTTGACTGTAAAGGAAGAAGCCGAAATCAGGCTTCATAAGTTAGCAGTGCTAGAAAATAAACTTTAAGCATAGAAATTACTGTTACGTCTATCAATTTCACGTGTAAAATTATATAGTAGTTCGTTAAATTCATAAAAGAAAAGGAACATAGAAAAGCAGAAGGAAAGTGAGATGCCAGATCAGGACAAATAATATTGCAAATTCTTAAATGGATTTTATCAAGAATCTCTACATATATTACAAGAAAACCAGACCATACGTAGAAGCAACGTTCAAAGTATGGTAGAATTATAAACATGTAAGATAGGTTCTGGCGATAAAGTTGTATAGAACGAAACTGTAAACCAAGTTTCTTAGAAACAAAACTAACAATTGATTCAATATAATCTTTCAACTTCATGTCAGCAGAAAACGCTTGCAGTAGAAAGTGAAAAGATTCCCTCTCCTAGCGGTTAGCATCAGACATACTGGTGTAAGGCAGCAAGGTATCTCTCAGGTGTTTAGTTTTGGAGGCATTAAATTAACAAGGTATTCCTTGCTCCAACTAACAGCAAATTATCGGTCATTTTTAGATCAGCTTCAAATTTTCTCTTCTTGAACTGATCAGGAACGTCACTGATGAAGAAAAAATAGAATAAGGTAGATATCTGCATTAATGTAAACAGATGTTTGACCGTTCAAGAAAACATTCATTTCGAGATTTGATAAGAAAGATTGAAGTTTTAAAAGTACACCCAGAAATACCATAAATTTCAACTTGTGAAGAAGGCCAATATCCTGTCAAATGCCTTTTCCGATGTCCAAAGACGTAAAACCGAAACAGCCTTTCTCATATTTTAATAGTTTTGAGTTTTACATTGCTTCAATTATACCAAACACAGACTACATTATATGTACGTAAATATAACCATTTCCGAAAAATCATGTTTTGAATTGAGGGATTCTTTTCTAGATTGTTTGCCAATCAAGACACTAGACCCCAGTCAGACCTGCAAAAGCAATAGATGGGGGAAGATGAAACCATGAATTTTCCAAGAATATTTTTTTTCATTTTTGTTACAGTATCGTTCACTCTTTACAAGGTCCGGGTTCCACCCGAGGTAGAGGGATAAGTTAAGATTGCTGTTAACACTAGCATTGAACAGGTTAAGATTGTAGTGATCAGG